TACAGTAAAAGTCAAATATGAATATACATTATTTTCTAATATTTACATTTAATTTTTGTACTCATCCACGTACCACAAGTACACATCCTATTTTCCAGAGTTGTTTTCCACACAGTCCAAAGAGGTAGCAGGCAGGCTGCTCTGGGAAAAATGAAAAAAATTATGGTGGGCAGATGTTATTTTTGTAAGGTGAACATTCTATTCTTTTTTTTGCACAGGGAATATGCAGACAGTCAAATTTTGACCGCACAAGAAAATACTCGTAAGCACACATATAGACAGCACTAGACAGATAAATAATTTAGCTGCAGAAACTGCAGACAAAGCACCTGGCATGAAAGGGTCATTTTATTAATTACCTATAATTAATCATAATTTTGTCCATCTCTGCATTAAGCTACCATGATGTAATCTAGTATTTCAGTGGGGAGATATATTCTCTCTCAGCATACTTCAGCTTTATGTAACTCTCAGCATGTCATGCAACTCAAATCTTGCTATTTCTGTCTTTCTCTACCGATAGAGATTGAGTCATCGTGCATATATTAAACTAAACTTCTGTGAATCACAGTGAAAATCACTTTTTAGTAGCAACATCTTCACTATATAAGTGCCTATAAAGCTATTAAAGCTCAAATGCAACTTTCCTAATTAGAAGTGGCTAGTAGAAGCCTTATTGTATTGTGGTAAAAGATCAAGCCCCATTTTTTTTCAGCTTTGGAAGAGTTAGAGCTACCGTCAGGTTTTTATTATTGTCTTTGCTACCAGTGGGGATATTTGCTCTCTCTGTCATGGTGATTACTGTCACTTGGGAAAAAAAGTAAAGAAAAATTACATTTTGAACAAGGCACAGGTGACAAAAATAAAAATTCTTATGCTTCTAGCATTAGTAAATAGATAGGGGTGTATATCATATTTACTTGTTTTTACTGTTTTGTTTGTTTGGGTTTTTCTTGCATTTCTTCAGTTGCTTCCAGGCCTAGGCAAATCATGTCATAGATCCCAGGAGTCTTCAGGAGGGGAGGATGGGTTTTCTCAGCTAAGCAAACTCTCCTGTTTGGATGCATGAGCTAAGGTCAGATGGATTATAAAAAGTAAACGCTACATGAATCACCTGCCCTTACTCAAGATGGCCATGGCCAGAGATTCTAGAGGGTATTTATCAAAGTGATTTCTCAGCTAAATCAAGCAAGGAGACATGGATGGTGGGGGAGTTTGTTTTGAATATTAAAAATGAATTAAATCACATTTTTGGTTTGTGGTGCTCAGATGCATTGTAGTTCCACTTTAAATACCTGATTCTTGCTTATTTTTTGTTCTCCTTCCACTAGAATGTAAATGGATTTTGGGAGTTTCTAAGAAAAGTGAGATATTGATCACTGTGAAGAGTTCTTTACAAAAAACATCTATATGCTGTACAGAGCCTGAGTACATTCTTTCTCTCCCACCGTCTTTATTCCTGATAGAATTCAATTGATCGGTATTTTGAGGCATGCATACACTGTGTTTACTTCCTGCTATGCCAGGCTTGCATGCTTGTTTTTTTTAAGCAGCTAACATATCATACTGTGGGTAAATTTTTATAATGATTTTCAAATCCAAAATGAATATTTACAGCCTAAAATTAACTTTTAGTGACTTAGAACTAACATGTCAGCTTCATGTCAGTTTTAAATCTAAACATCCTGCCTAATGCTGGTCGAACATTTAGCAATTTGGTCACCTTTCTATGAGCTTTTGATTGAATTTAATATTCCGCAGAAATCTGCAACCCACAGTGTCAATCATTTACCAGTTTTGAAAAGCCAAACTGTTGAAATTTGGAGAAAATTAATCAGAAGTGCTTTTTTTCCATGACATTAAGTGTGTTTTGAGTGATTTCCCTATATTTATATTTTTTATAGTTTGAAGCTGCAAAACAGTTAAATCAGTGGGTGGAAAATTGCTGTGGAGTGTTTCCATTACTAGGACTTTTTTTTTTTGGATGGGAAATGGAAAGCTCATGGAAAGTTTCATGGCTGCCACAAATATAGGCTTATTAGGGAAATGATGGGTGAGCTGAGTTTAGCTAAAACTCAGTCCATTCTCCTAGTGATAGGAGGGGGATTTACTAAAACTAGAGTGTGCAAAATCTAGAGTAGCTCTTCATAGAAACCAATCAGCTTCCAGGTTTTATTGTCAAAGCTTAATTGAACAAATTTAAGTTAGGCAAGCCATAGATGATACAAAAACTGAAAGAAAATTTTCAGTCATTCCTTTTTCGCATCATTAATGTGCCAGCTGAAACACGGGATATTTGTGCCACATCCAAAAGTGTCTGATACAACATGATGGGTTTTTATTAGAAAAACAAAACCACTGATGGCACAATTGTATGAGCTATTTTCCTTTTTTTGCACCACAGAACTTTCAGATTTTGCCTTAGAAGCTTATTGGCTACCATGCACAGCTGCACCAGATTCTGACTGCTTGAGTTTGAATATATAATCCTAGGGTGACTCTCCAGGTGCACAAAATAAGATTTTGGGTAAGCTCACATTCTATGGAGGGCTTTTATTTTCAAAGCACTAAAAGGCTGATCTAACATTTTAGTTTGAGGGTTTACTAAATGACCAGTAAAGACTTTGCAGAAGAAAACCTACTTATCTTTCGAGAAGATTTTCTGAGTACGTAGATCTTAAAGCGATGTACTTGAGAGAAGTTAACATTTCTGTCAATATCACTGTACAGAGTTCCCACCATGTCCTATCCCCACTGAACGTAAGGTGTAATCTTTTCAATAGTGGCACTGCATTAAAATCCTGAAAAGGGGTCTATCTCTTTTCAATTATGTTCAAAACTGAACAAAAGTTTTGGCAGGAGTTCGAATTTAAAAACTGAACTCTAGCTCAAAAAAAATTCAGGTATGAATACACATATCTCTTATATTTAGACAATATTTGTTTAGCCTGGAGTTCAGCTTTAACAATCATGTATTCTTTATAGAACTATATGAACAAATGCCAAATGTTTTCTGAGTGTCTCAGCATTCATGCATATAACACTCATCTTTTCGGCTTGAATCAGCTGTACTGTCCCTTGAGTTTTCTCTCAATGCACTACTTTCTGAATGGCATCTGCAGCTGTGCTTTTTTCTCTTGGCCTCTTCATTTCAAAGCATGAAAGCTTCCTATGTGTCCCATGCCAAGGCCTGACTCCTGTACAGAACAGAAGACTCATTTGAGTTCAGTTATTGATAATTTGAGTTGACCCAATGGAAGAACCTGCTGAGACTCTGTCATGATGTATTTAGCTATTGATTGTAGAATAGCCAGTAATTTAAAATGTAATTAAAGATATTTTTTTTTTAGTTTTGGAAAAAACAGAATGACCTTGGCCCCTGTCATTTTATTTTTGCCATCAGGGAGATTTTCTTTTACTTCCTGCCCCAAAAACATGCAAGAGCAAGTATTAGGGCATCTCTCTAAAATAAAGGGAAATCTACTCTTAGTTGTCATCAGAACAGCTGTATGCATTGGAAGGGTTCACATTACTTTTTGTACCAGACAGTGGTCACCAGGACAAATAGAGAGGGTGAACCTTCCCAGTAGGAACACAGCTAGCTGTAAAATCATGACAGCAGTCCTATCTCTTACCTACTCTCTCTCTAAAGTTTTACTCTGCATACATTTTAAAGCTGATCTCCACATTTAATGCCCCTTTACTGTAAATAGTTTGTTTGGGCCAAGCTGGTCCAAGCAAATTATTTAATGCACTAAGATCCCTAGGTTGTCTGTATGATCTGTATGAACCCTCGGCTACATACAGTACAAATCGCTGTGTTCTGACAGTGGGGTGGGAAATTTCAGTCTTGTTCCCAGTACAAAATCAAGTTGGGATGAGCGGCACTTAACTATTCACAGGAAGATTTGTATTCTACAAATTAATACAAAGCTTCCTCTTATTGGCTGAGGTGGAGAGGTGGGCAGACGGTGTCACAATTTTTTTTTTTGTTTATAGAACACTAAGCTTCATGTGAATGGTTGAGTGCCTCTCATCCCATCTCGACTTTGTTCTGGGTAGTTGAGACTGCATACAGTTATTACTGCATGCCCAACAAGTGCACCTCTTAGTGCAGTAAATAGTTGGCCCAAACTTGGCCCAAACAAACTATTTAAAGGGACAATAAAGGTGGAGATCAGCTTCAACTATCAACTATAAGTTACAGAAACTTACAGTAAATATTAAAAAACATACCGTATTTGCCGGCGTATAAGACGACTTTTCAACCCCTGAAAATCTTCTGAAAAGTCGGGGGTCGTCTTATACGCCGGTATACGGCGAGCCGGTGTGTCAGGGTGGCACTTTTTCCAGGGGCGGTGTCCTCCAACGGACACTAAGTACAGGGGTGGGCAGAGGGGCTGCTGTACCTTACCTGGCTCCGGTCCCGGTCCCACGATGATCCGGTCCAGGAAGCGCGGCTGCTCCTTCTTTCAGTTCGGCCACTCGATGGTCGCGCGGCCGCTCGGCTCCGTCTCCTCACCGGTGATTGGGCGCCAGCGCACACAGGCGACCAATCACCGCCGAGGAGGCGGAGCCGAACGGCCCCGCGAAAATCAAGCTGCCGAACTGAAAGAAGGAGCAGCCGCTCCTCTCCCCCACTGACACTAACGATGGGGCACTATTCTCCTCCTCCACACTGACACCAATGATGGGGCACTATTCCTCCCCCACTGACACCAATGATGGGGCACTATTCCTCCCCCACTGACACCAACGATGGGGCACTATTCCTCCCCCACTGACACCAATGATGGGGCACTATTCCTCCCCCACTGACACCAACGATGGGGCACTATTCCTCCCCCACTGACACCAATGATGGGGCACTATTCCTCCCCCACTGACACCAATGATGGGGCACTTTTCTCCCCACTGATACCAATGATGGGGCACTATTCTCCCCGCTGACACCAATGATGGGGCACTATTCCTCCCCCACTGACACCAACCATGGGGCACTATTCCTCCCCACTGACACCAACGATGGGGCACTATTCCTCCCCCCCACTGACACCAACCATGGGGCACTATTCCTCCCACTGACTAATGATGGGGCACTATTCCTCCCACTGATACCAATGATGGGGGCACTATTCCTCCCACTGACACCAATGATGGGGCATGATTCCTCCCACTGATACAAATGATGAGGCACTATTCCTCCCACTGACACTAATGATGGGGCACTATTTCATCCACTGACACCAATGATGGGGCACTATTCCTCCCACTGACACTAATGATGGGACACTATTCCTCACACACTGACACTACTGATGGGGCACCATTAGTGTCAGTGGGAGGAGTAGTGCCTCATCATTGGTATCAGTGGGAGGAATCATGCCCCATCATTGGTGTCAGTGGGAGGAATAGCACCCCCATCATTGGAATACCATACTGAAATACCATACCATATTGAAATCAAATCTGATGTTTTTTCATTTTTATTTGGTGTGCGTTGGAAGAGGGGTAGTCTTATACGGCGAGTATAGCTCAAACCCTATATTTTAACAGGAAAAGTAGGGGGTCGTCTTATACGCCCAGTCGTCTTATACGCCGGCAAATACGGTATATACAATCTGACTGTATATTATACAGAAACTGTAAGGGCAGCATGAATACAAAATATGTAAACCCTGCATATTCAAGCATGTATTCATTGGTTAAATTTACAGCCATACAAGTTTAAGCAGAGCAAAAGAACATTGTGCGCATAAAAGACATCAACCAGGTGCTGGTTGGGCAGTAGTGTTATTTTTCCATCCTAGTTCTTACAGTGAGATGTCTTGAATGTGTTGATTGTGTAGAAGTCATTTTTAAAGGAAAATCCATGACTGCAGGTTTTACAAGCAGGGAGATGGCTGTCAATGTACATGGACTACGTATTCTGTTGAAACTAATGCAGAGAGTACACTTCCCTGTGCTTTAGTCGAATTACAGTCCCTCTTTTTCCTCTAAGACCCAAACAGTGCTCAGGGTTTTTTCTCACTGGTTTCAGATGCTCCTAGAGTGAGCATTATTCAGATAAATCCTTTAAGAAATAGTTTTTTAAATTTGCATAAGGGGTAGGTATTTTCTAAACTATGATATAATAAAAACTGCTATATTTTTACTATGATCTTGTTTTTTTATACCAGTTAAAGGGATGTTAACCTTTATACTGGCCATACACACACTATCAACCAACTTTCAATTTACAAAAAAGAGAGAACAGGTCAATGCAAACTACCAGCTACAGTTTCTAGTAAAAAATGTAAACATTTTTAAACTACCCTTGGTGGGTTGCTTTCTAATCTTTGTGATCAAAAGCTGTTTGAAGTGGTTGTAAAGGCAAAAAATGTTTTAAATAAAATAATAAACATGCTATGCTTACCTTCTCTGTGCAATGATATTGCACACAGTGGCCCTTAACTTCCTTTTCCGGGGTCCTCTGCCTGCTCTGTCATCTCCTCCTCTCCTTTGTGTGCATGTGGGTACACTATGTGGGTGCACTCCATAGACACACACAGTGTGGATTAGTCCCACCCCCTGTTTCCTCCTCACAGGATTTGACTGACAGCAACAGGAGCCAATGTGCTCTATTTTTTCCACCAGTTTGATTGAGGTGATTTCCCTGTGGTCAATCAAACTCCCACTGACACCACTGCACTATAATCCTCCCACAGATACCAATTTTATGTCCTTAGTTGGACAAAATGGAAAATTCAATTTCTTTGTTCTCTGTCAATTTGCCACATATGTGGAGATACTTTTAGCCTACGTACCGTCCAAGAAGAAGTAAATGTAGCTTTACATCCCAGTCTCTAATGTTTAAGATATATGGCTTTCTTTGAAAGTCTCTTAGAGTAACAATTTAGACACTGGTTTCAATGGTAGGTTAAAGATCCTATGACTTACAAACTATAAAAATGGGCCCATTTTGATATACAATGCAATACATAATTCATATGCCAGAATAAAATGCATCATATAAAGTTTTTATATACACAACAAATTTCAGCACAGAAAAGCAGTACTTGGTCTAGATGTTATAATATGCAAGATTTGTGTTAGTTTACTTTAGCCCCATGTTTTTTTCTAATTTATATTCAGTCTCAATTGAGCATGCTTAGTGCTGACAACACATCAATGCATTCAAAAAACATTTAGCTGCAAAGTATAAAAAAAAATGCTTCATGGTTTGTTCACGTTACTAAGGTATGTACAATTCATTAAATTTTTTTAAAATATCTAATTAATTAAAATTCAGTTTCATTTTTCAAGTAAGTAGTCTTCACCAATAATGCACACATATGTGTAATATGCACCATAACTGCTGACCAGCAAACATGCCTTTTTTTGTGTCTTCCTTGAAAGCCTCCTCCACAGGATCGGGGTGGTGTAATCATTGCAGTATTTGCATCAGCCTGCCTGCAGGGTACACTGTAACTGCAGACCAGGACTATAAAGAGCAAGCAAGGGATCTTCACCACATTCCTATTTTATTTAATATTGTTAAAGTCAGAAGCCAGAAACTGTGATTTCTGTGCTGCATTGCACTTTTGTAATGACCAAAGAAACAGATCACAAACTGCTGGAAGAATGCAGACTCTTCATTAGTTAAGCTGTGTAGAGAATGCAAATTGCAAACAAATTACATTTAAACAATGCAATATTTATACTGACCTGGGCATGTGGAAAAGCAGAGGATCAACCAGTAGTTCTTTCAAAATTAAACACTAGCAACATCTATAAACGTTATGTCAAGTATAGTCTGAAGTCTCCTGATTTTACTCGGGAGACAAGTGGGCACACCATACTCCTGGGCATATATAAGCACCTGAATAATTCCTGGCCAAACTGAAATGGGGATTCAGATATAGGGATGAATAGCCCTGTATTGTAGCTTTCAATGGATCCATATCACAGGTTCTAGTGTGTGCTCTTTTTCCCCTGCAGTCCCGTCTGACATTTTTATGCTTTAACAGAAAGTCCCAAGAGACATAACGTACATTTCCATTCCTGTTTGAAGAAGCAGATTCTACCTGTGTAACACATCCAGCTTCAGGCTGCTGAATACCCTGTATTGTGACAACTTATGATTAAATGAAGAAAAATATTTGATTCAAAAAATGTTTGCATATGTTCTGGAAGTTCCATTGGTTATGGGAAAATACATATAGAAATACACTGGCTTGTAAAGAAAAAGAAATATGACTCAGTTCCTTTAAAATCTATGTGATTTCAATACACATGTAGATAAAAGTATATATTTATCTGTGTCGATTCAATGGTCAGTTCAAAAAGAATATAAATTAACCTCCAAGTTCTAAAGTTCCTTTTCCCTGTTTTTTTTGGTTAATAATATTTGGCATGTAATGCAGTATAACATATATATGGGACAAAGTATGTTTATATTTAATCCTTAGGGGTTATGCCAAGTATAGTCTAATGTCTCTATGATTTTAAAGAAAGAATATCTTCATTGTATTTAATACTGTATTTTTATTGCTTAGTTTGGTGTGGATTTTCCTGATAACATTGACTTTACAAGTGAACTCCCTGTGACCTACTCAGCTCTTGTGACTGAAAAAAATGGAGATAATATAAATGCCACTGACCACTGATTTTTGCATTCCGGCTACAAAACACAAACTGTAGAATGACATTTAAAAAATTGTACTCAAGAAACAGCTAAGTACACAGCTGAAATACATACGTTGTATATGCGAAATGTCCAATCTACCAAAGGATTGTAGACTACCCTAAAGCCTCCTACAAATTATGAGAATATCAGACAAATGGTCGTCTGTTTTTATTTTTTGCATGCTAGTCTCATAAAAATTAATATGTTACTAAAGTTGCTAAAATTGTCATACGACAGAATACAACTTTGGAAGTGATGTAATGTATTGTATTGTAATAGATTCTTTCATTTCTGAGCATGTGTGGTTTTGACCACTCAATCTTTCATGGCCAAATACTGTATTGATTTAATGAAAATCGCTTGTTCTGCTATCGTACGAGAAATATTTTTGAGCTTGACAATCACTCCAAAAGTTATATTTTTAATCCAATTTCTCATCATGTGTGCTAGGCTCAAAGCTAAATGCTATAGCCTGGTCAAGGATTTAAGCCAGCCAAAGACAATGTCATTTTCTTTCCTGCATCCTTGTCAATTCCTCCATCAGCACAGTCAGCTTTGATAGGGGAATCCCTCCCACTGAGCTATTGTGTTCTCCCAGCGGGGTGCGGGGGCTGTCTCTGCCAGGAGAACCCAATAATTATTGCTTGCAGCTACAGTCGTTGGCAATAAGCCCATGAAAAATTGGATAGCCTGGTTGTACCCAAGTTGTACAATTACAAACTTGATTTGGGTACAGTCAGCCTGCCCATAGATGGTTTGAATCTCAGCCAATCCCTGCTGAACTGGCCAAGATTCGAACCATTTATAGCTGGTTTTATCCTAGTTCATGACTGAACAATAAAGAAGCAGTAGCATACCAATGAGGTCAACCCTGTCTTCTCTTATCATGTAAGCACTAAGCGAAACAAAAGGGTCCTGACTGGCTCAGAACACTGCCTTGTGCTCTCCAAGATTTAGCTGCTGTACAGGGGTATTAAACTACTCTAATGTCAAGACAGATATAGATACGTATGCTAGCTGTGTGTTAAATAATAAATGTTAAGAGAATTATACTTCACTCATTCAGCACATAGTGGCACTTGACCTCTCCTTTCATCTGCAAAACTGCTGGAAATAACCATAAATTCTGGGTATAGGAAAGCAAGTGACCTTTTAATTTCTTTCCATTCGTTTTTTATTAAGGTTTTAAGTACAAATGCAAAACTGTGTACAAACAGTAAATAAAATCATCAGTATATCTCGTGGCCTACATGGCCTGCAATATTGCTTACAAAACCCGCTAGTGTAAAAAAATTATGAACTAAGAACTTGGGTCCCTGTTACGTCTGTTGTATTCTCTTCTGGGAACTACTAGAGTCAAGGGATACCCAGCCCTAGGTTGTGAATGGAAGCTTGTTTTCACATGTGCGCACATAGCTCGCACGTCAGGAGCCAGTCGTGTGGTGGCTACATGGGTAGTAGGGGAAGCAGAGAGCAGTGTGAGAAAGTGGTGAGAAATGAGGAGGAGAGTTAAAAGAAGAGAACAGCAAGCCTTCCCTGTAACATTAGGATGTTAGTCTCAGGTCTGACAAGATGGTCCCTGTTAGCTAGGAGATTCAGAGATCCCAGATCTTATCAAATCTGGCCATCCTATCCTGCTGAATGGCAGAGAGGTGTTCTTTAATCATTATCCAAGGTATCTTATATACATGCAATAAACAGGAAGTTTATTAGGCATTGGGTGTGTTTTGGGGCTCCCTCAGCAGGTTATCCAAAGAGAATATAAATGTAAAAAATTAGTGT